GGGAAAGAGCTATGGGAACCTCCAGTTGTAGTGTGAGAGGAGGCTCTCAAGGCCTGAACCTTGTAACTCAGTAATGCTGACCTGCAGTGAAGTGGAAGTAACCCAACAGGTATGGAAGACACACCTACCAGCTGAGGCTTTGTCTGGTACCACCAGCATGGCACCAAGGAGTTCAGATGCAAAGGCCACAGAAACTTATTTTGTGTGCTAATAATCATAGAATGGTTTGGGTTGGAAAGGACCCTAAAGATCATCTAGTTCCAACTAGATGGGCAGGGACACCTCCCACTAGACCAGGTTGCTCAGAGCCCCATTCAACCAGCCCTTGAACACTTCTGGGGAGGGGGCATCCACAGCTACCCTAGGCAACTCGGGCAAGTGTTTCATCACCCTCACACTAAAAAAAATTCTTAATGCCTAACCTTAAATCTACCTTCTTCCAGTTAAAAAAAAAAATATTCCCGCTTGTCCTATAATACTGATATACAAGTAACATTGGCCTTTTGGTTTGGGAAAGTGGCTTTTATGTAAAGATGACTAAAATGAAAACGTGGGTTTGTTCCACAAAAGGAATTCTAGAATGAACACCCCTCAGGCTAGTATCATCCCTCAAACATGCATGCTAGACTTTTTTCCTGTTGTAAAACACTACTAAACCCTTTTATCTCATTATTTAATTCCAGAAAGCTGTTCCAGAATCTGTAGGCTTATACAGCTTCTGAATTTGCTGCTGCAGTAAATGCAAAATAAAAATGGGAGCAGCTTTTCCCAGCTAATAGAAGAAAAATTATTCAGTAAACTCATACCACACATCTATCTGCTTAGTGGATATAAATGTAGTCCAGTAATTATGGACTTCAACACCTCTCATGCTAGTGCCAAGAACCTTGATGTAATCTTAATCTCATAGTAGTCCATTAGAATAATCTCACATCTAAGGAGCAAAATACCCTTAAGTGCCCATTCTCACTGTTTGATCCCCGAGATCCAGATGTCATGCGGTTGCATTCATCAACAACAAGTAATCTAATGACTCAGCAGATGACAAGTGCAAGAAAAAGGCAGTGGTCTCTTGGCAACAAACCAGAAAGGGGCAGTGAAAGACATCTGTAGACCTCATAGAGTATGTGCAAGCAGCAGGACTTTATGGCACTTTTATTGGGTTTTAAAGTAATTTTAAAACTAATCCATTATGCCTTACCATGTCAACAAAAAGATGTGGTTGCTCACAAGGGCCAGAGGACCTACTGTATTGAACAGATCCTCTACTTTTGTATTTTTTAACTGTAGATCAAGTTGGTCTTTCAGAGATTTGTTATTACATCTAGCTAATGGACAAAATTAGCATATTTCAACTCACTTTTGCTTCTAACAGGCTTATTTTTTGCTATGTAAAAAAATAGTCTTGCTGCAAGAGCTCAGTAGCTTCATCTAAAGCTTTCAATGCTCAAAAAGCAGTTCCAGTTTCAGTAACTATTTCTTCTTCAAGAAAAACACTGAGTAAGCTCAGTGTTTCTAGTCCCTGACAAATCCCTTAATATGGCCATTTTATTGTAATCTTTCAAGAAGCATTTTATGCTTTTAGACATGTGTAACAAAGGGCATCGACTCCAAACTAGCTACAGGCCTATTATGTTTGGGCAATGCTCATCCAAGCCTTTCTGTCCACCTTACCATATTTTTGGTAATGTGTGCAGCTGAAGGGAAGCTGCACACATTTTGTGTTGTGTGTGCAGCTTGAAAAGCAGAGGGATACAATATACAGCCAAGTGCAGGCTGTGACATTTAAGAAGTTTCTTCTTGTCATCTGGGAAGCACCTGACAAGCTTCCATTCGCTAGAAACTTCAATGAGATGCAAGAGATTTAACAGGCCTCTGTCTACCTCATTTTGCTGCCTCCACATTTATCTCTGCTTCATTTGTACTTGCCAAGTTCACATGAAAAATCCTCAAGTAATAGCGTGGTAAAAATGCCATACTCAGGTGAGTTGAGCGCACTTTGATTCTTGGTATCAGCATGCCCAAAGGCAGCACACAAGCAGCTGATAGCAGGTAGTCATCAAAATTAATCTTGTAAGGGAGGCTTTTGTTTTTATACAGGGCTCCACTGAACAAACTTAAGTTTACAGTAGCAAACTGTGCTTTGCAAACACCAGTGGAGATAAAACCTACACCTTGAAGGTAAGAAAGCCTTCCCAAAAGTCACTCAGCCAATACAAAGATCTTGAAACCAAGTGCTAGATACTGTCAACTGCCTTTCACTTAAATACATTTTGCTGAAGAATATTCTGAGATTGAACCAGAAGCTTCAATGAAAAAGAGTGGGACAACTCCCAGGTTTCATTTCCTCCCTCAAAAGTCACCCTGTTGAAGTGGAGAAAGATACACCTTTCAAAGGCATCAAATGATTTAAGAACAAACTCTCACACATTCCCTGTGATTCTCATGCTCTGAAGCCTGTTGTACCCCCTAGTATTTTTTCCACAACTTACACAATGCAGATGCTATAAACTCCACCTGATAGCACAATAAAACCATAACATTTGTTAGCTGGGCAGAATAGAGCACATTTAAAATTATAGTATTATACCACTATGTTCTCCCAAGAAAGCACCATATTATTTAACTCTGGGATCACTGCCATGAAGAAAAAATGAGTAGCCTGTGCATCTTACGCATCCCATACAAAATTAAAAAGGTGATTAAACTGAACACATTGATCTCTGTAATGCAGAGAATGAAAGTCAGGGATCATACCAATGCTGACATTTAAAATGCATTGTACATAGCCACTGAGGCCAACATGTCAGACTTAAGAATGAAGAAAAACAAACAATTTGCTTTGCTAACCAAGGTAACTACAGCCATATTCTCATTGCTGTGAGATGATGTCCAAAATGACAAATTAAGAAGACAGACTGCACTTGCAAATCAAAATCCAAACACATAGAAGTTGAACTTAAGTCAAAAACCTTTCTCAAGCTTCGAGCAGACACTTGGTATTGTATCTTAAGTGTCATTCAAAGAATGGGTAATTAAAACTGGATAATTTTAGGTATGGTTACTAAAAACTCTAGAAAGTCTCTGCATTCTGTAGAGCAGCATTTTCAACATTTTTCTTTGTTACTTAAGGCATTCATTAGCTGCATTCAAGCAGCTCAGGTGGTGTTCTTCTAGGATGCTCCAGTTTAACCTGTAGGACCTAATGACCAGAGAACTAAAAATACCCCTGTAGCAATCCAATAGTATGCTAGTAATCTGATTACTTCTGACAGCTAAATTTTCAAAACAAACATACTACCCACATGTAACAAAACCTTTGCCACTAATCTTTTGTTAAAAGCATTTTACAGTCTGTGCATTTTCTGTGTTTTCAGTGGGTGACACTGTCAACACATGAAACTACCAAAATTCAATTAATAGGATCTCCATAAATACCGCCAGTCATTTGTCACCTAATTTATTTAAGTTCCAATTTTTTCCAATTCCAAACAAAAGCTAAATACAAGTTTTAAACAGGTAAGCACTAGTTTTATCCAAAAGGAGCAGGTTTATGCAGTTTTACTCCAGTAAAGTACTTAACCCTTAAGCAGAGCCTTGTCATCAAAACTTTACAGTAGTCTTCCTTTTATCATTGCACAATCTTAAATGTTGTCAGAACCAACTTTTGACACTCCAAACACTATTTTACATTGTTTTATGTCTATTCCAAATGAAAAAAACCTCAATGGGTTTTCCATAAGAAATGTTTTAGAAACCAGTATTTCCTGCACAGTTCACCTGCAAGTTTAGAAGTCTCAACTCTCAAGAAAAAAAAATAATCCTCTACCAACATTGTTTCTGCAGCTATTATTTTCCTTTATTTTTAGCTGCTTTAGCTACTTCAGACTCCAGGTCTGCCTCATCTGTATAAATGTATCCAACTCAAAAGAATACTTTCATACAGTTATACAGCAACTTGGGGAAAGAGATCCAAGACAAAAGTGCCAGTAAACAAACATGGCCCAGCAAAATAAAGGAGGCAAAAAATGCCTACATATTAAATGAGATGCCTTTTTTTTTTAAGAAAGATTTCTTTCCCACATTTACTTTCTATTATAATAGCCACTTTTCTGTTCATTAAAATGAATTATAGTGCTCTTTGACACAATCTCTAACAGCAAAGCTGTAAGGCTTTTATACCTGTTACATTCACTTCTCACCCTTCAAATACTGATGGTTAACATTAATAGATGTTAGAGGGCATGACCAGCACAAATGGGAACACCACCACAAATGATCACCTTGTGCTTTCAGATACATTTGTTTCAGTGTACAGTCCCTTCATTTCACATTTTAGTAAGATGCTGATGCAGTGCAAACACGTGCAGAGCATCCTCTCTTTCACAAGGTCCATGCAGAAAACACCTAAAAAAAATTGTAAAGTTCTGAGAAACAAATGATAAAAAAAAATCCAGGATGATCAAGTTTCACAATGTATAGTGTTCTGAATATGAGTCCATTTTCTTCTGAATTCTGAAAGAATAAAGTGGTGAGGAAAGTGAAAATCCACTGCTGCATTCTGTGATCTTCCCCGTTTTGCTGGCCAGTACCTTACTCTGGCATGTAAGGACAGAGGTGATCCTCTATGGTACCAACCGTCCAGTGAGTGAGCTGCTCCTGTGGCAGGTACAGGCAGATGCTGCATAACTTGAAGATTGTAGCTTTGTTTTTTGGAGTCTAGAGGCAAAAAAAAAAAAAAGCAAACAAAAAACCAAAGAAAAATTATTAAAGGTGAAAGTTAACTCAAGGCTAATAGGCAGACCTCCAGGAGACCAGGCTCATTCACTTGTTAGCTTGCTACTGGTGTGGAGGAACAACGCAGACATTTAAAAACCACTATATTTTGTCCATATCACAGCCTGAACTCAAAATTAGTCTGCAGCCCCCAATAACTAAAATATTTTCACTATTATGTTCATTCTTCACTTGAATTACTTTTGTAGCATCATCCAAATTATACCAAAATAAGCTTACCTGCAAGTGCTGTCTGTCAATGAAGAGAAACACTGACTGGTTAGGGTTGTTGACAACAATTCCAGTCTTGTCCTTTCGGCTCAGAACATGCAGAAACTGTTTTTCATAGTCACCGTGATGAAATTCAAACTTGGCCTACATTGTGTGAGGAAAGGGAATAAAATATTTATTAAGCTAAAGCTCACATTTAACCAATTAATTTCCTTCAGTGTGAAGCTTTACAATCACTTTGTTTCTTTTATTCTCTTATCTATGAAAAGCAGAAGTTGGGAATCACAACAACACACCTGAATGTGCACAATTTTTAAAGAACTCCCCAGTTTCATTCTGCCAACACAAACAGTCATTGCAATCAGGTATTAACAATTCAAAGGTACAACTAAATGCATATATAAAACAAGATTTAGCTTGTTCTGTCAGAACATCCCTACATATCAACAATATAGCACATTTCTTCTAGTAACTAATTACTGCAGAACCAGCACAGAAAATACATATTATGTTCAGATTTTTTTGAACATTAACAGCTAAAGCTGGCTACCAAAAAAATAGTCTAGACATCTGAAATTTATTTCAATGTAAAATTTCTCAATTACATGCAGAAATTCCATCCATCTCAGACTCTCTTCCATCTAACAAAATACAGCAACTTGAGATACTCACAGAAACTTTACAAAACCATCAAGTTTAGACAAAGATTCAATTGCACTAAGAGCCATATCTACAAATACTAACATATGTATCTATAAATACATGCAATTCACAAAGGGTCCTTCAGATGCTTAAATCTTTTTAAGTGCCAATGTAACAGGGCATGAAGACAGGAAGGAGAATTCAGCATTCCGAAGACTGAATGCTTTATAAATCAAAACAGCCCAGCACACTTAACATCCACAGACGTCACACACATTATTAAGACAGAACTTATCTTCCCCTCCAGCTATAAATTAGTCAAATAAACAAATACCTGAACAGGCCTAAAGGGTTCATCAGATCCCTTCCATCGGGAAAACAGGAGACAGACTATCTTCTCAATATCATTACGAGGCCAAAGAATGAAGTCCATCTCCTGGGTACAGCCGATCACATCCTGCAAGTCGTAAAGTTCTGTACTTATGTTCCTTCCATTAGCCAAAGATACAGATAAGCAACTTATCTACACAGGCACATAATTAAAAGGTTCTACTTATTGCCACGTTTGTGTAATTTTCCATTTGTATTACTCTAAGCACAACTAAAGACTAAAGTCTTCCTTGCCTTCCACTGAGTTTTAATATCACTACCCAGTTAATATAAATTCCAGCTTTAAGAAAACATTAGCAAAGGCTGTCTGCCTTCCAATATGTGTAAAGCAAAACAACTTTGTTGTCCCGCAAGAGCTGTTGCAAGAATCAACACATGCCTACTAAACAACAAGGCAAGAAGATAAAATTCCCAAGGCATATTTGAGTGAGACAGATGAAAGCTAAAGCTTGAGCACTAAATATTTAAACAGAATTTCAGAATACATATGCCGCTACCCTTCAAATTAGGCCCCATAAACACATGCCCTCAGAATCTTCCTGCAGCAGAACAGCTGAGAAACTAAGAACACCATTAGCCTTGACATTTGGAAAAAGCACAAGTGCTGAAAAAAACAAACTAAAATCCAGGAAGTATAAAGAACAACTTTACCCTGCGCATTGACTGGTAGCGGGGTGCATGAAGCTGTACTACATCCTTCTGCAGAAGCTCTAAAGAACTTTCCAAAGAGTAGCTGGAATCCCGTACACCTTTCAGGATATTTTCTTCATAATTATTGGTCATGACTGGTATCACTTCAGACACTTCAAAAAGCGCTGACTTTTTCTTCTAAAAAAAAGCACATGACATTAAGATTACCATCCTTCCTAAGGAATTATCAGTAACAGTTGATATCAGAATTTGTGATTTTCTGTTAGCATTCATGTATGAAGTACACATCACATAAGTCAGAATCTTGACACAATCCACACTAAAGTTAAATAAATCCACACTAAAGTTAATTAAATAAACAGAATCAGTCCAACAACTTTTTTTACAAAAAGTTGAACACATTTTTGCAGTCTCCAAAGATGGTGATTTAAATGTCAACCTCACATTCACTGAAGCTGTATCTAAACATTAAGAGAACTGCCCTTTCATCATGTAGAATATATGGTTTTCGGCTGCCCAAGAATCTTGTGAAAGCTTCTCTTGCAAATCAGGTCACACATTTTGTTCTGTTCTTAGCAGTTCTTTAAAGCTGGCCTTTTATGAGAAGTCTTTCAATGCCACATTTGGTAGCTGTAGGCTAGAAAGATCCAATCTTAAATTACCTACAAGTCAACCTTCTCAACAGAAGACTGTATTAAATTGCTAAATAACTTTGATACTCACTACAAATATTTCAGTATCTCTCAAGCAAGGTCAAGCTTATTTTATCAAATAATGCTTCACAGCCCCAAGTCAGAACACACACAAACTTGCTGATCAAGCTAGGCTGAGCTAAAGTCCTACTCAGAACTAACTGGTACTGGATGGGCATCTTCAGTTCACTGTGATTTAAGCAAATTTTATAGGACATTAAAGAGGTATTTGCAACAGATTTCTACAGAGCAATCAAAAAGTATGAATGCTCCAACTGAAACCATTAGGGTGTTAAACTTAATAACACACCCGTATCTATCTCTGTACTAGACTAAAAACTATACATTTGAGAGGACTAAACAATTTCAGTGCTGACGCAGGAGCGTATCTCCTACATTGTGTATACTATCTGTTTCCATTTTTTCATCCTCATCGTTGGTTCAGCACATTCATGTACTTATATATGAGCACCTATTTCTCTTCTTCTGTAGACAGAAACCGTCCTACTATTTTGGGTCTCTAGTTAGCTTTAGAAATACCACTTCCGAGACTGGCACAGATGCACAGCATCCAGCAGCAGCAAAGGAGGCACCCAGGCAAATGAAGACTTCTCTTTTCCTTCCCTGCTCCCTTGAAAAACGGTAGCAGCAGTTTCACAGGGACCTTTGTGCTCGGGCCACTGCAACATCGCCTTTTGCAACTCCTCCCTTCAATTGCCAGGTTCTCCCCTCTGCTTTAAACAGATAAACACTATGACTTTAGCAATCACTCCAAGACAGGTCTCCCTTTCGAACTCAACCGTTCATAGCCAACAACTAGCCATTTCAGACCCAAATTTAGCTTATCGAATTACAGTAGTAACAGTGAAAATCACCTACCCAATACAGAAGCTACCAAGGCATTTAGTAAGGCACTAGCACCATTTGCATTACAAAACTACAAACATATGAAAAGCCAAAATTACAAAGTAAATATTTTAGCAATTAGCAATTTTTTAAAAGCTTAAAAGTCAATGAAATCTATTATGATGTAATCAGGCAGCAAAACTCTGCAACGTGTAGTTAACACACATTACAACAGAAAACAAAGAAACAAACATTAAAACCCAGTTACCTCATCTTTGAAGACAAAGGCAATGTACATCTTGAAGTCAAACTGGTCAGCTAAAGATTCTTTTTTCTTTCTAAGCTGAGCACGAAGTCTGTTCAGAGCTTGTTTCTTCCGGGAGTTTGGGTCCCCCATTTTGTAATAGAGGTGGTACTAAAGCCTTTGGAAACTGTCGCTAAACTATGGGCACCTTTTCATAAGACTCAAGTACAACAGAAACAAGTCGCTTTATTCCTGCCAATACGACTGAACAGATAAAACGCGAATGTAACCCAAAACCACACCTCAGGCAGTATTTTAAGAGAATGTTGTATCAGAGGGGCCAAGAATCAAAGTAAGTAGTCGCCCAGCCAAGGCTGGAAAAAACATTTTACAATAAACCAAGAAAAAAAAAAAAACACAAAACAAAAAAGAATTTTTAAGAAAAAAAATTGGAGCAGTTTAGTCGCAGGAATAAGTGGGCAAGAATGAAAAAAAAACAAACACTCCAAAAAAAAAAAAAACCAACCAAAAAAAAAAACCCCAACAAATCTTATCACAATTTATGTGTACAATAAAAAGCAACTGGCAAAAGCCCAATCCATGGGGGGGTATTTTTGCTCTGCTTACAAAAAAAAAAAAGCTGAAATCACAAACTGCGTTTTACCCCAGCCAGATTCATGACTCTACGGATTATTAATCTCAGCTTTCCACTACTGCTATGTTGCCCGTCTTTTTTCTCTTCAAAATAATTACACTTGGTGGAGAGCAGAGAAACTGGTGCAAAAGAGTGCACGTCCTGGGAGATAGATTTCTCTGCCAACAACAAAATCAACTACAGACAACACAGTGCTGGTTTGAAGGGGAGCAAAGAGAAAAAACAGCAGAGTCATTTCTAACTTCATCCTGCTCATCATCAGGCACATCATTGCCCTGAGGCTGCTGCTGCCAAAAAGAAGAGGGATCATGATGGCCATAGACGAAAGGCAGGCAGGGGTTCAAAGGACCGTATTATCTCGCCTAGAGACTAAAACCCAAACCAGTGCCCCAAACCCGGGCTCCTTATGAATCGGAGATCCCTACATCTCCCAACACCTCACACGCTCCCTGGGCCGCTGATCCCCCAGGAATCCTTCTCTCTGCCGCTGCTGTGCTGCACAGCGAGCCCGGTTAGCCGAGGCTGTGCATGGCCAATGCTTTTGGCTTTTCCTTGGGCCTCTCTCTGCCCGGGGCGGCAGAGGCTGCAGCGGGCGGGCAGCCTGTGCCCAGCGCAGCGGGACACCCGCACTCGCACGGCCTCTCCCCTCTCACTTCATGGTCACGACTTGGGAAACATGGAGAGCTTCGCTCCTGCTTTTCTCGCAAAACAAGTTTTCGGTGTCAAAAATTTTGCGAGTTTGGGTGGGTTTGTTTTTTTTATATTTGCAAGCCCAGGCTGCAGTTTTAAACCTCTAGAACACCCACCCCCCCCCCAAAAAAAAAAATAAAATCCCCAGTTATCAGGTCATTTTTTTCCTCTCTCCAGACATTCTCCCGCCCAGGTGTTTGGTTTTTTTTTATCAGCCGGGGTTAAGAGTTTTTGTAGATTAGCAAATTTGTCGGACCTGGTTAAGAAGAGGGGGAAAAACTATTTCCCCCTCCCCCGCTTCCTCTTTTGACCAAAAGAAAAACAACGAACGGGAATACCAAAAAGAAAAACAAAACAAAAACAAAAACAAAGAGAGAAAGAAAAAAAAAAAAAGAGGAACCCTTCCCAGAACTTCCCGCAAACTGAAGCAAGAGCCCGAGAGGCTCCAGACGAGAGCCCGAGGCCGTGGCCCGCTCGCTACCCGCAGCCGGCGGGGGCCG